AAAAAACATACCAGTTGTATAGGCGGGTTTGTATGCTATTCTAATGTTTTCCTTGTCATATATGTCTGAAGCTTTTAATCTGTCCGTGAAACCTGGTATGTATACTACCGATTTGTACGATACTGCTGTTTTTTCACTACTTTTCGTATTTTTACTTGATTTGTGTGTTTTTATCATCTTATGTATCAGTCCAGTTGGGAATCGTTGCTTTACGTATTTACTAAGTAATCTCGTGTTTGTCACTTTGGTCAAAATGTCTTCCATAATAATATCGGCTACTATCGCTGATGCTGGAGATCCCATCGGAAGTCCTTTTAATTGTGTATAAATTGTTTCTTCATACTTAAAATATCTGTTTTCTGAGATACAAAAGGTCAGTATTTCCATAAAAAGTTTTTTTGGTATATCCGTGTGTTCCTTAATGTCATTCCACTTTGTCTGCATAGTCTGTATAGCCAAATCCGTTGGTATACTTGGAAATAGTGACACCACATCAAAGGAAACAAGACGTTCATCATCACATATATAGGAGTCATTAACATTGTCTTTAAATTCTATTGCACTCTTTACATTAAATTTGGATTCTGTTGTCAGGTTTTTTAAAACATTAGTCAAGTATTTACATAAATTGTAGGACGGGGAATTTATCATTGAAGAAATAGGCCTTAAGGGCATGTTGTCTTTATGGACTTTTAGCAAACCATAGATGCGAGGCGGGATAGCTGTGTGTGTGGTCATTTTGTATTTTTCCTTCTTATTTATAAGACCTAATTTATACAATTTGTCTACCAATTGATTGTTTTTATTTTGTAAACGTAGCGTCGGGTCCTGACGTAAGATTCTATAAGTTTTTAAATCCTCCAATAAATTGTCCATTCTCGACTGATAGTCTTTTTTCTCCATTGCAACCGTTAGATTACCCTTGTCTGCATTCAAAATAATTATGTCTTTGTTTTTGCTAAGAAATTTTCGTGTCCGCTCCACTGTATCATTTATAGCCAGATCCGTTGTATTCCCTCTATGCCTTGTTAAAGTGTCTTTTATAAGTAGTGATAATTTTGTTCTCGCAGATTCTTGATTCTCTTTGTTTTTTACGCTCTGTACTAATTCTTCTCCATCTGCTATACATTTGAACAGGGGAAATGTGCTTTTGGATATTGGACCACCAAACAAGAGACTAAACTACAAAACAGACACAGAAAACTGCGCCCACATATACAGACACCTGCTTGACACTTGTAGTATCAGTTCTAAACTGCACGACAAACGAGACGGACGTCGTGGAGCTAAAATTTAATTAATGTACGTACGTATTTATGTATGTTTTTGATGTGTTAGCTTTTGCTTTTATGTTAATAAAAAAACTTGTGTAAATGTTGTAGCCCCTGAAGACGATCTCCGGAGGAGATTGAAATATATTGGGAAGGAATGTATTTTCGTGTGTTTTAATTCCATCAACACCCTGACCTCAAAGCCGGCATTAAAAAGGATTACTTGATTAAAATCAAAAAGGTCGCAGTACAAAACGGATGAAAATTTATAAAAATTTACAAAATTAAAAAAAAATTTGTAGCCCATTCAGTTTCAGTAGAAGAAGAGCTCGAGTCAGAATCTGTTTGCATATTTTAAGCTACAAATTTAAAACATATT